GAATAAAATAAAGGGGTAGGAAAAAGCGCGGCACGCTCCCCCCGGGAGGCGATCCTCTTCATGGCGGCGTACGCGGGATGATGGTGTTAAGTCTGGTCTACAATTGCGTAAGCATAGTTGCAAGTAGTTGTAGTTGTAAGAATTTACCAATCACAATTGAATATACGAAGAATATTCGACTGTAATTGGTCAGTTCTTACAACTACATCACTTACAACTACGCTTACGTAATTGTAGACCGGGCTTTAGTGCTGCTGCTGCTAGTAGTAGTGGTGGTAGTGGTGGTGGGAAAGTCACAAGGTACAGGGCGACGTAGAGCGAGAGGGAGAAAAAGAGATAGACAGAGAAGGGGAGAGAGAGAGAGAGAGAGAGAGAGAGAGAGAATCAAAGGTTTTCCGACCGATAATGCAGGGTCACCCGATGCAGGGTCCGGCGAAGGGGGTTGGTCGCCCCCCCGGATTGCTCACCTGGGTGCCCCTCGCCGACCGATTCCGAGGTGAAGAGGAACGAGGTGTCCTGCTGCAGCTCGGGCGGCGCGTGGCCGTTCGCGTAGCCGTTCATATGGTGCGCGGTCTCCGGCATCTTCCTGCGTTTCGGGGTCGTCGCCGCCGTTGTCGCCGTGTCGCCTCTCGTAGCTGGTATTCGTCACTCAGAACTCCGTTCCGGGTGGTGGTGTCGTTGCACCGTTGAGCCTCGTACTCCGTAAATGGCCGTCTGCACCGCGAGCGAACTCCTCTCCCACGTGCCCTCTCACAACGTCGTCGTCGTCGTCGTTCACGCGCGCTCTCCTCCTCTTCCTCCGGGTTTATCGTCCGCGCGGTCGGTGTAGTGGCTGATCGGGCGAGGTCCCCGTGGTGCTCTCTTGTGCTTGTGGAATTTGTTACCTTGCAGTGTTTCGTCTCGAGGGTAGAGACGCGGGTGAGCGACGGCGTGCGCGAGAGGGAGAGCAAAACGGATCGTGAGAGAGCACCGAGCTCCACACAGGCACACGGCACACCGCGTAATGATCGGGACGAATGGGTGAGACGACGCGCCGCGGCGCGTAGCGGGAAGTGAAAGAGACACCCGTGCCGTGCCGTCCTCTATTTATAACCTCGGCCCGCCTGCCCGCGCGCTCGGCCGACACGCGGTCACGTGACGCGTCCGGACGCTCGGCGCGGAATTCGATTCGGAGTCACGGCGGCGCGTGTCTCGCCTCTCGCCGGTTGCCGTCCGCTTCGGTCGCTCTCGTTCAACTCCACGTGCTCCTGCGAAAGACAAAACGCGCGTTAAGAGGCAGAGTCTGAGAAACGCTTCGAACGCTCGGGGATTTATTCAATCGTAAAACTGGATAATCGTGTTGAAAACTGTTTCTCTCGGGAGAGAAACAATTTTTAAAAAAACGTTAAATGTTTATTTAAAGTTTATTTTTTAAAGAGATACAATTTTTTAATGAGTTTTAACTAGGAATGGATGTCTGATGCTGCGACTTCAGCACAATTTTATGTGCACATTTGTTATGTGTATAATTTGTTTTATATATATACCTATATATAATAATTTATATGTATATAATATGTGTGTATATATATATATATATATACATATTATCAAAATATGAACTAACAATTAGTATAAATATTCACTCATATTAATATTTGATACTTATACAAAGATATAAAATTATAATAAATGTATTTAAGTTTATTAATTTACAGTGAATTTATACATAATGTCATTCTAATGTTACAACAATGTCATTTTAAATCTTCTGTACATCAAATTTTTTGTTTATTGACAAGTATTTTTATAAGTTTGAATATTTAATTATATAATAAATGACATTATATAATATAATTTTACAAGTATGAATATTTCATCATATAAATCTGCTGGCAAGTACTTTAAATATTAATATTCGTATACGTGAAATAAATTTAATGAATACAATTATATTATATACATAAAAATATCTAATTTGTATTTTCTTGATTGAAATTTCGTGAAAAATGTATTATTATTATCTCGCAGTTGTTGCTAAATTCTCAAACATAAAGAGAATTAATGCATTGATAAATGCTTTTTTCTATACAAATATTATTAATCACTTCAGTTATTTGTACTGAAAAATCTACCCTAAGTATTCTAAGATAAGCATTTTTAAATAATTATTTGTTTTTATTAATCTCGCATGCATCGATTTCTCGAAGACATTATACGAGTATCAAATTTATTTCTAATTATAATATAATTAAATTAATTACTTTTTAATAATTGCTACATCGAAGAATTTTATTAGCATTATACATGTATAATGTAAAATATATATATATGTATATATATATCGCAACTCTTTTCAATTAAATAAAATCGATTTCACTTTTAAATAATCATCTCAACTCTCAAGTGTTAGAAGTTTGTAAAGAGAATATTAGATGTCTAATATAATAGCCCGAAGGTGATGACATTACGATAAGTTTAGGATTTATTTTGAATTAACGTTTCTGCTGGTTTATCAACATGACACTATGATCTCTACGATGAATATAATCACGTATATATATAGGATTTGCTCCATCATTCTTTACGCTCGGAGCTTTTAATGTTGCATCATGTGCGGGATGATCTGTGAGAATTACAGAAAAAGAAATCGTATCTCCAGCTCTCGCGCTTAATAATATATAGAATTTTTCGAATTCCGGAAATTTTATTTCCTTTATGGGCGCGCGATATTATCGCAGGAATATACAAATAGAAGCTAATGTGCTTGGAGGATAAATGCTTACCGATAACACCGGTCAAGTGCTTATCAACACGTGATTCTAAGTCGCGTTATCTCTGAGAATGAGAATCCCAGCTGAAAAAGCGCCAAATACCGTGTCCTCTGTCGGAGCGCCGCGCCGCGTCGCCGCGTTTTTTCTTCGACACACAGCCGGAAATCTAATTCGCGCACGGCACAAGACGGGACTGCCGCGGTTGCGAAACTCGAGCACAAGATTGAAGAAGAGACGTTATCGTCACTCGACGGAATTGCACTATGCGAGAGTGTGCAAACTGGCTAGACTTTTATATATCGCTCGGCGATCGGAGGAGGCTCTCTTGGGGCGGAGTGGGATCGGCGTACGCAGCTGTGTATTTAGGATTCTCGAATGACACGCCAATTTTACAACAAAATTGCACAAGTGTTTATAGTCTCATTCGTTTTCTCGAAGTGATGGAAATATGTAATTTGAAATCTGGGCTTGTCTAAATTGATCTGATCTTAACGGCAGTATCGATTGTTGTTACGCAAGTATTGTGTAATACTTATATATGGTAAAAAAGCTGCGCAAAACAATATAATACTGACATTATCGTTAAGAGTTAAGTACAGAGTTTAAATTTTCTTGTTGTTACGATATGTAGAGCTGGATATAGAAGTTGGTCGAAATAGAAGCGGAATTTATTATTGAATTTACTATTTGTTTATCTAAAATTATTCGTGATCATTCAAGGTATACTAGATCATTTTTGGTAAAGAATTTGTAGAATAAAGCAGTTTTCAATCAAGCGATCTTGAAAGACACCAAGAATTTGTGGAAAAAATTATATATAATAAAATTATATATAATAAAAATTCTGTACTTGCGGAAGAGCACAAATTTGCAAAAGTGAAAACTTCAAAAATGTGCGAACGAGTGAGATGTTCGAATTTGCAATTATTTCTTTATAATAAAATAATATATTTATATATTTTTTGTTGATAATTTTGCTTATTGTAAATCGTATGCATTTTTTACTCTCAACAGTTCGACTCGTGAAAAAAAATGTAATATGCAATACATGGATAAAATGTTGTAAGTTGTCTATCATTCCATACGCGAAGCGTTAATGACGTTAAAGTTGTCGATCATTTCATACGTCACAGATTACTCGAAAGTGACGAGTTGCGAATCATGTTAATGAACGTGAAACGATTGCGTGACTGACTGGCACTTAAGTTTAAGCGCGATAATGACTATCATCTAGTATCTCTGATACTCGATATAAATAGAAATGATCTCGTTAGTTTTATCATTTAATTTAAGCGGCATTCACTATTAACTATAAATACATCTAATTAGTATTCAATGTAAATTTATTTACAACCTTTTTTTAAAGAAATTTTAGAGATTGTCGCAATTTCTTCTCTATTGTGCCAATTACATAAGTATATTTTATACTCTTATGATATTTCTAAGTTATAATATTATTTTATATTATTATAAAAGTGCATCTACAAAATTCAGAAGTTAATAAATTAGCATAATAATTAATATATATATTGTAGTTAATTACTATCGCTAAAATTATCAAGCGAATTATCAAATTGTTTGATTTAGTTATACA